GATGTTTGGATTGGATGGATGTTTGGATGGATGGATGTGTAATGAACCTGCTGTGTTTCCAGGTCAGTCTGGAGGCTGTTCAGAGGGAGCTGTCCTCCCTGCAGGAGCTCAGCTCTCATCATAAGAGGAGGTCAGCGGAGATCGTCACTTTGCTGCTCAGAGACCTCAGTGAGATCGGCAGTGTTCTCGGAACCACCGAGCTCAAAGCTGTGAGCCTCAAACTAGTTCTTCTTCTCATCTACTTCTACTTTTCATGTGTCTGAAAACAAACTCTGATTCTGTCTCTTCAGATGACTGAAGTGAGTGGAGTGATGGAGGAAGAGTTCACCTCTGCCCGACTCTACATCAGTAAGATGAAGTCTGAAGTCAAATCTCTGGTGAACCGCAGCAAACAGTTGGAGGTCAACCTGACAGAAAACACCTGCAAGATGAAGGCGAATGAGAAGGAGCTGAGCACGTGCCAGCTGCTCGTGTCGCAGGTGAAACAAATACAAACTGAGACACACACACACACACACACACACACACACACACACACACACACACACACACACACACACACACACACACACACACACACAGCCTGTCTGAACAGGTGTGATGATAAATTCACCTGTGCTGTTTGTTTGTGTGTCTGCTTGTGCAGCTCCGGGCAAAGCTGGGGTCTCTCACCGATGACCTCCAGAAGGTGGAGCAGAAGAAGAGGCAGCTGGAGGAGAGTCAGGATGCTCTGATGGAGGAGGTCGCCAAGCTCCGCGCTCAAGGTAATACTGCCATGGTTACAGGAAACAGTAAACTCTGATTGGCTAATTTTTAAAAATCCATCACAGGTGAACAGGTAGAAACAATAAGAGACTCTGTGTTTGTGTGTGAGCAGGTCAAATGCACGAGCTGACAGTGATGGACAAAGAGAAAGAACACATGAGCCAGCTGAAGGATGTTGTGGAGATGAAGGTAAACATGGCGTGACGTCACTGTGAGCAAAGTAACAATCAACAGTCTGTCAAAGCTAAATCAGTGATAGAGGTGATGGAAGTGTCGCTGTGTGTTCTATAGAGAACGCTGGAGGAACAGATGGAGAACCACCGGGAGGTTCATCACAAACAGCTGAGTCGACTCCGAGATGAGATCGATCAGAAACACAGAGACGTCGACCGACTCAAAGAGTGAGTTATTGATTATTATTGATTGATTATTGATATTACTAATTACTGAGTGATTGAGCTGCTCTCAGACTCTTCTCAGCTGTTCTGGGTTCAGTCACATCGTTCATTTTAAAGAGATTTGTTATTGGTCAGATTTTTGCTTCAAGCATGTGTTTTGTCAGAGTGTCGAGCCGGCTGTTTCCAGCTTCTTTGTTTCTTTCAGCGTGAATCAGGCTCTGCAGCTGGAAAACAGGAAGCTTCAGTCTGACTTGGACAAACTGAGAGCAGAGGATCAGAACAAAGACCAGAAGCTTCAAAAGCTCATGTACGTTTGTCCCTCTGTTCTTGCAGTCGCTTCAAACATCGTGATTGAGGTTTTAGCGCCATCAGACATGGTTGTGTCCACATTCAGTTCACGATATAATCTGTGACGTCTAAGTGTGTCAGACAGAAACCATATATTTATTTCTCATGTTATTTTTCTCATTTAAACTCCTGCGCCGCTCAGATGACATCATTGCATCATGTTGCCTCCTTCTGCTTCCACCTACCGTTTCTCTGACCAATCAGTGAACTCACATTAACAGGCAGTGGGTGTAAATGGAGTTCAGGTGGGTCATGCTAAACTCTGCTTGTGTCTTCAGGTTTGTGAACGAGAAGAGAGAACAAGCCAAAGAAGACCTGAAGGGTTTGGAGGAGACAGTGGTATGAAATTGTATTTTCACTGGCATAGATGCTCAGGGTCCAGAAGTGCTTCTGTGCAGCACCACAGTGGGTGTTACATCAATCTATGACTGAAGTGCAGATTTTCAATTCAACTAAAATTTTATATGAACTGTTGAAATGCGTGCTCAATCATCCAGATAAGGAAATCCATAAAAGTTGATTCTGTTTATCTTCTCTTTATGTATTATTGTAGGTCTACATTACAAGATAAAGCGCCTTGAGGCGACTGTTGTTGTGATTTGGCGCTGTATAAAGGATTACTCCTGAAAGTCTGCAAATAAGCTCTTCAGTTAAGGGCCTCCAATTCAATTTTTCAATTTCATTTCGTCATCAGGACGCTACAACACAGAGCAAACACCATCCCCACAGACACAGCGGCCAGGGAGGCAGAAGAACATCAAGAAGGCCCTGAGTAAATGTGGTTATCCCAGCTGGACTTTTGTCAAAGCTGGGAAGGCGCCAAAAGAAAGCTCCAGCTGATCCAAGAGAGAAGGACAACCGCTGCCTAACAGAAAACCTGTAGTGATCATGTACGTGTCAGGAGTATCAGTACAGTTGAGGCGCATTTTTCCTAAACACCGGTTCTCTGGGGCTTTCAAGCCCCAAAACATGTTGCGCCAGAAATTGGTCCACCCCAAGGATCGGGTCCCCCAACACAAACAGAGTAACAGAGTGTACGCTGTTAAGTGCAGGGGGATTGCCAGGATTTATAAATCGGGGAAACCAAACAACCTCTGGTGAAGCGGATGGCACAACATAGAAGAGCCACCTCGTCAGGCCAGGACTCTGCAGTCTTCTTGATGCATGCAATCAATAACTTAACTGCTTAAATAACTTTAGGCCTGTGGCCCTCAAACCAATTGTGAGTAAATGCTTTGAGCAGCTGTTTTTGAAGCACATCAATGACATTCTCCCAATAAACCCAGATACCCTTCAATTTGCATACAGAACCAGTCTATCCATCTCCACCACCCACCACCTTATGCTGTCACACCTGGAGAGGAAAACACCACAGTCACTGACTTCAACCACTTTTAACACAATCATCCCACACCAGCTGGTGGAGACACTGATGCTTCCAGGTGTGGACACTGCAACCTGCAACTGGGTTCTCAGCTTCCTGACAAAATTCAATTCAGCTTTATTTATACAGCCCCAAATCACAACAACAGTCGCCTCAAGGCGCTTTATATTGTAAGGTAGACCCCACAATAATAGATACAGAGAAAAACCCAACAATCATATGACCCCCTATGAGCAAACACTTTGGTGACAGTGGGAAGGAAAAACTTTTAACAGGAAGAAACCTCCGACAGAACCAGGCTGAGGGAGGGGCGGGGCCATCTGCTGCGACTGGTTGGGGTGAGAGAAGGAAAACAGGATAAAGACATGCTGTGGAAGAGAGACAGAGATTAATAACAGATATGATTCAGTGCAGAGAGGTCTGTTAACACATAGGTTGTGTCCAAATTCACGGGCTGCATCCTCCTGAGGACGCATTTGTAGTCCGATTACGTCACAGCGACGTGACGAAGGCTGTCCACCCTGTGTAGAGCTTTCCTCTCTGCCTCAGTGCAGTTTCTGTGCCACACATTGATGCCAGAGCACAGAACATTCTCCACCGCACATCTGTAAAAGGAGATGAGGACTGAGCTCTCAAGTCCCGCACATCTCAGCCGCCTCAGGAAGTAGAGCCTCTGGTGAGCCTTCCTGATCAGGCTGGAAGTGTTTTTCCAAATGAGGTTGCTATCTAGGTACATACCCAGGTACTTGTAGCTGGGTACTACTTCGACTGCAGATCCTCCGACGTGCAGGGGTGTGTGTGTGTGTGTGTGTGTGTCTTCCCCTCCTCAAGTCCACAGTCATCTCCTTCATCTTCTTCTCATTTAAGCAGAGATTGTTTTTCCTGCACCAGTCCTCTAAATGTTCCACCTCCTTCCTGTAGCCGGTCTCATCATTGTTGGTGATGCAACCAACCACAGCTGCAAACCTTACAATATGACAGCCTGGATGGTTGGGTGAGCAGTGTGAACAGGAGGGGACTTAGCACACTCTTGTTAGGATCCTCAAAGCGGGCGCAGAACTGGTCGAGAGCCTCAGGCAGAGAAGGATCCCTGGGGCATTGTGTATCCCTAGTTTTGTGGTCAGTGATGCACTTACCCCTCCACATACTGCGTGGATCCTGGGAAGAAAAATAACAGTCTATCTCCTGTGTGTATGTGGCTTTGGCTCTCGTGACGCCTGCAGTCATTTCTCTTCTAGCCCTCCTGAGTTCCTGTGCGTCACCAGACCTGAAGGCGGCTTTCAGCAGGGCATGGACTTCTTCTTTGTTTTCTTTCCCGCCTGTCCCGTTTGGCTCTTTTGCCATCAGAATTATTGTCTAAAGGCAAAGAAAGATGCCCAACGGATTTACTTTACCAGATTGACCATCCCAGCCTTGCCGTGTTGGTCTATTTGATTTACCTTTGCTTTTATTGTTTATTTTATTTTATTTTCACTTGCTACACTTCGGACAGACTTGACTGGGGAAAAGAAAAGGGAGAAAGAAAGAGGGGAAAAAAAACAGCGGGGAAGATGAATGGTGATAAAGGGCAAAAAACAAAAACCAACAAAAAAAACAGACAAAAAATACAATCACCTGGATCACCTGTTGAGAAAGAAAAAAGAGAAAACAAGCAAAAAAAGAGAGCAACATAATAAACAACATCATGATGATCTATGTGAATATAACAGTAAATATTAAACATTATTGTGCAGCACGTAAGATCGACAGCGCACAGTGTGCTTTGAGGTAGGAGCCAAAAAGGGTGTAGTTTGTGTGTGTGAGCACCCGTGTGTACACCTGTGAGCATGGACGCGCTTGTTTTTTAAAAGGTTCCTTCATGTAATGATCTGCTAGAGGGTGTGGGGGGGCCACAGCCCCGTCCTCCAGGGCATGAAGCAGGTATGGAGGAGATCAAAACTCCAGACATCCAGAGGCCCCCAGAACACAAGAGACCAAGGAAGACCAACAGAGGGGCAGCCGCGCCACTGTCTCAGAAAGAGCTGAGGAGAGTCCCAGATGAGGGCTCACTCAGCAGCCACGGAGCAGAAGCCAGAGGGGGTTGCAGTGACGCGCCCGTGAGCTCCGCCGGCAGCCAGCCGTGCCTGAGTGACCGAGCCCCAGGCCGAGAGGCCGAGGGCACCCCACCCCCGAAGGGGCCCGAGCGAGCCCCAGGCCCCGACAAGCAGCCACCAAGGAGTGAGCCGGTGTGTACCTGGACGCCCATACCCGGACACAAAGAACCACCAACGCACCGATGTCTGAGGGCGTCTGCCACTGGCAGGGGGGGGGGTGGTAGGGGGAGGAAGGCAAACCTTAAAGGGCCTGAGATGTTCTCAGAGAGGGGCATCTGATATCCAACCTGACATATAGACACAGACATACAGGCACACACAGATACAAACATCCATCCCCACCCTCATGCTCTCATATACACTTACTCAACACTCAACCAACATGGAGACAGACATAGAGAGACGCTGTACACACAATCACACTCCCCAAGCGTACTCTACGAACCAGGTCTAGGTACCCTTGCCCCTGGAGGGGAAACTGCACCCAGACCCAGGTGGTGTTACCCTTTTCCCTGGGGTGGAGAGAAGCAGACCGCCCCGACTCCGCAGCAGCAGGGAGGCCCCACACTCCAGACCCCAGTCGGACAGCCAACTCCTCCTCCTAGCCCCCCCCGCTCCTACAGGCAACAGAGAATCGGGGGGCAGATTGAGAGGTGGGCAACGACGCCAGGGGTGAGGTTGTACACCCTGCTGGTCTTCTGGATGCCGTGTAGCGTGCCCGCCCCCAAGGTCCTATATGTATGTGTTATGAGAGTGTGAGTAATGTGAATGTCTAAGTTGTGAGATAAAATTAAAGCACAGGCGGCCAGAAGGGGACAGGGGGGGGGGATGCCTCCCCTGACCCCTGGTGACACACCTTTACCCAAAGGCCCTGCATGTGTGGGTGATTGTGGTGGAGCGGGAAGAGGGAGGCAGCCGGAGATGGGGAGGGAAGGGAGGGAGGGGCAAGTGGCCCCACCCTGTGCAGAGTCACCGTCACTGGGGCACACAGTGATGGTTTTTAGTGTGGTTTGGAGCGTCGTAGTGGGGGATGGTAGGCAGAGACCAGCATAATACAGATGTGGTCTGAGAGGCTGAGGTGGGGCGGGGTACTGCTCTGTATGCATCTCGCATGTTGGTACAAACATGGTCCAGCGTGTTATTTCCCCGTGTCGGTATGGTGACATGCTGATAAAACCTTGGTAAGATGTCTGTCAGGTTTAAGTGGTTAAAATCCCCAGCCACTACCTAAAAACCTTCCAGGTGCCTATTCTGAAGCGAGCTGATGTGATGGTGTAGCTCCTTCAGTGCGTTGTTAGCATTAGCATGCGGTGCTATGTAGGTTGCTATGACAAAAAACTCCAAAAACTGAGAAGGTGAATAGAATGGGAGACTTTTCACAGTCATGAGTTCTACATCCTGAATTGAATTGACTGAAGCCTAATCTTGAAAGTAAGATAGTGTCTGTCTCCTGAATCCAAACTGGAAGCTGGTTCCACAGAAGAGGGGCCTGAAAACTGAAGGCTCTGCCTCCCATTCTACTTTTAAATACTCTAGGAACAACAAGTAGGCCTGCAGAGCGAGAGCGAAGTGCTCTAATAGGGTGATATGGTACTACAAGGTCATTAAGATAAGATGGGGCCTTGTATGTGAGGAGCAGGATATTGAATTCAAAATGGCAGCCACAGATGAAAAACCATCTCAGTCAGCACACCTCAGGGGTGTGTCCTGAGCTCGCTGCTGTTTAGACTGTTTACACATGACTGTACAGTCAGATCCAGCACCAACCACATTGTGGTTTCCAGATGACATGTCAGTGCTCGGTCCCATCAGTTATGGCGTTTAGTCCGTTTACAGAAAGGACATGAAGCAGCTTGAAGTCAGGTGTAGATCCAAAAGTCACAATCAATGTGGACAAAATGAAAGAGAGTGATTTCAGGAGGCCTGGCAAAGATCACCACACAGACCTCACCACAAATGGTGCTGCTGTGGACAGGGTGAGTAGTGTTTAGTTCCTGGGTATACTTTTGTTAAACGTCTGAAAGTCTACTCTTCAGTCACATGCTGGATTCTTGGTTTCCTCTGTGATGATGTACAGAAGCAAAATGATAAAGTCCAAAATGTCTTACTGCTGATGTGAGACCAGCTGAGTCTCTGTTTCCTCCAACAGGCCAAAGAGCTGCAGATGCTCAACGACCTTCGCAAACTCTTCATCGACGACATCGGAGCTCGAATCAAGAATGTAAGAATAAAAAGTAGCTTTACTTTGAGATTCAGAGCAGCAGAGCTTTGATTCGTCACACAATTGCTGATGTCACTTCCTGCTTTGAATGGTGTCGCTGCTCCAGGTTTACAATAAGCTCATTTATCATTTTCCAGCTTATTTACATTCAAATTTAATAAAGTTTAAAGAGTACCATTGCGACATTGCATTTCCACTGATGTTAACCTAACTGATCTGCCTCAGTCCATTTTGTGTGGAGTTTTAGGGATCAGTGTGTGTGTCTGTGTGTGTCCGTCCAGTGATAAAGTCTTATGTGTTATTGTCATGATCAGAGTTCAGAGAATGACAGCGATGAGGCTGGTGGCAGTTTGGCTCAGAGACAGAGGATCGTCTTCTTAGAAAATAACTTGGAGCAGCTCAGCAGGGTCCACAAGCAGGTGAGTGATCTCACCTAGTCTCTAAGCCCTACCCACAGGGTCACCCTCAACTGGTGTCTCCCCCATTGGAAGTTTGTGTTTCAGTTTTTAAAACCAGGATCTTTAGTGTGGGTCTGTCATTGACAGGTCACTCTGTGATTGGATGTTTGCTGATGTTGTGTTTGTTGGCAATTATTTCTTGAAATATGACAGAGTACAGATCCTGCAGTGAAGCTTGTGTCTCCAGCTGTGATCCTCTGTGTGACCATGTGAATGAGAAGCAGTCTCTCAGGTATAATAGTGCATAAAAGCCTAAGAATTTAGACGTGTAGACAGTGTAGAAGCTTCCAGGTGAAGGGACACTAAGTCCTATGATAAGGTGGAGACTTAGGCAGTGATAGGAATAACGGCATGTGATTACAAGTAACGGCGTTAATTTTTTCAGTAACGACTAATCTAACTAATTACTATTTCTATCGTAACGCAGTTACCGTTACTAACAAGAAAATGCGGTGGCGTTACTATTTTTCAACAAACAGACGGTTGAAGCTGTGTTCAGTTGACCACATCTTATATCAGTTGCATGGAAATAGCTGTAAGTAATGTGGGCGCTACAGCTTTCAGCAGCTCCGCACGTTCCCGCTGACAGCAATCACTTTCTGCCTGATGATCACTTTTTCTCACAACACCTGCAGCTTAGGGTGCAAAACAATCGCACGAGTGCTGCTGTTTGACTGAGGAACAATAAAGTAGTCGTGGTAAGCCAATCACATGACCACTTAAAGACAAAGCAACAAGGTGACATATACCCAGAGGTGGGTCGAGTGTCCAAAAATTGTACTTAAGTAAGAGTAGCATTACTTTAAAATATTATTACTCAAGTAAAAGTGAAAAGTAGTCTTCAAAAATGTTACTCAAGTAAGAGTAAAAAAGTACTTGGTGAAAAAACTACTCAAGTAGCGAGTAACTGTTTGAAATGTCTGATTTATTTTATAAATAAATGCTATCAGACAAACAAAAATAAATATACAAATTTTAGTATTTTCAACAGGAATATATGTAAAAACTAGGGGTGCAACGATATTCGTATCGATATTGAACCGTTCGATACAGTGCTTTCGGTTCGGTATGCATATGTATCGAACAATACAACATTTGTAATTTATTTTATCAACTTTCCTTCTGACGATGCTGTCTGTGTGGAGCGCTCAGTGAATCTGCGTTCGACTACTCCGCCTAGGCTGCACTGTCGAGCGCAGATCCACTGAGCGCTCAACACAGACAGCATAGACAGAAGGAAGAGCGCAGGGCACCTCCCCCACCCTCCCCCACCCTCATTCAGATCTGGCGTTTGGAATTATTTTGGTTTACATGTGAGGTATGATCCTGAAGGTAAGCGAGTCATGGACTAAAGTAAAACAGTATGTTGGATGTGCCATGCAATGCTCAATTACATGGGTGGGAACTAGTGTGTTAGCGCAGTTAGCTCGTTAACGTGTTGGCCGTCTAGCCCCATGCACGGGGCGATCGGCGGTAGCTCGTTAACGGAGATTTGCCGTGTTGTGGCGTTAAGGTCATTTCAACAAGATTAACCTGAAAGCACTAGTGGGAACACAACGAATATGACTGCACATTTACGCTGACATCATCCTAGTGCAAAGACAAAAACAACAAGCATGCTACTAACTTTAGCGGAGTCATTTAGACAGCTGTTAGCACATGATTCTCCTTATATGTTTAATATGCTGCTGAGAATATAGCCCAGAAGAAGCGGATAGTATAGCTTTTATTTTGGAAAGAGACATTTCTCTGTAATAAACTCTCTTTTCCAAAGATGAGTGATTCCTCAATCAGATACAAGGCTTGCAATATCGCTAGCCCGACGTCCTGGGGCTAGCGATTTTTTTCAGTCGGGCTACCAAAATCTATCTCTTCCCTGCCCGTCGGGCTATTGTAGGAAAAATATATGTCAATGCTTTTGCATTCTTTCAGAAATGTAGCTGGGTAATTATGTCATTGGCATCGGTGAGCCACTGTCAATATGTGACATATTGAAATCGCGTTTGAATTTGCGCTTGTTTTTTTGCCTTCACTTTGCAATCGCGTGAACTGTGTATAGAGAGCGACAGCACTGATCTGTGAGTGATGATAATTTGTGCACCAATTCCTCTGACATCGTCTTATTAATCGTTAGCTTACTATGCAAACATGACAAGTGAAATCTCCCGCAGCTTAAACATGTGAGAGGTTGATCGCGCAGAGAATCGCTGAGCTTATGTGAGTGCGTGTGTAAAAGCAGCAGCATATATATTTTAGTTCTGCTGAGCCAAATAAGACAGGTCAGGGTGAAGAAGTGACAGCCAAAGAAAAGCTTACCACAAAACGGAGAAGTTATGACAAATCAGACTATAAGGCAAAAAGAAAGTGCAGCTTTATGGTTTCATGGACAAAAGAATTTCTGTGGCTGCAATATGACAAGCTATAACCGGGGCTGCACATAAGTGGTGCGCAGGTGCGCATTCGCTGTCAAAATAAAAAACACGCACAAGGGTTAGGGTTAAATTTAAAAACTGTACTTTTGAGTTAAAATATATATCTATAAGTTTAATAAATGACAAATTAAAAAGGCATGAACATTTTTTGTATCGAAAAAATATCGAACCGTGACACCAAAGTATCGAACCGAACCGAACCGTGAATTTTGTGTATCGTTGCACCCCTAGTAAAAACATCAACAAAATTTTTTCCAGATTTCAGTTTTTCACAACATAAAGCTTTTTTTCACCAATACCTACAGTAAATAATATAAACATATAAACAGTGCAAACAATTTCCAGTGACAAGATATGCTGTAAACTTTATATTAATTTTTGGAGATGTTTTTTACTAACTCTTGTTGAAAAACAAAATCCTGTCATTCATATTCCGCACAAACAGTTTGCAATGAATTCCAGATTAAGTTTAAAATAAGAATGCGTGCAAGGCTAAGCAGTGCTAGCCAATAGATCCTCCTGTTTGGCTGTTACTCTGGGAAAAGACGAAAGACGGTGATGGAAGCGTGATTGGAGCTGCGATGTAGCCTATATAATATTTATATTGTACGAACATGATAATTATGTATTTTATAATAACGTGATATTATATTGTTCAAACGTGAAAGGTATATTGTTAGAACAATAAACTTTTCTATTTTTCTTTTGGCTGGGTGGCAGCTCTACGCTTCCGTATCCAAGGCTTTTCAATGTGACCTCACAAAATTGTGACGACTACAACAACCATGAAAAGAGTTGGATGGACATTGCTGCTCAATCACAGTTGCCTGGTCAATGTTTTTCATTAGTAATTTAGCAAAGTTGACAGTGGTGTGTGTGTGTGTGTGTGTGTCTGTAAGACGGAGAGAGGGAGAGCGAGAGACAGATTTTTCTATGATAAGCTTCATGTTATGGACGCACAGTTTGAGCACTCAGGTCGCATCAGAGCACCAGGCCGTGTGAGACCCTACATCGTGACCTATGAACTTCTAACCCCTGCGATTCAATTGTACAGTTTGAGCAGGAGCTGAATAATGCGACGGGAAAAAATCGCACAGTGTTTGCCCAGCTTAATGCAGACTGTTTAAACTAAACAAGCTGCTGCTTCACATAATAAACCCTGTCAGCCGCAGTATTGCCTTCTGTTTTAACAGTTAAAGCAGTAGAGACGAGCTGTTTGCATGTGCGTGGAACTCTAGCGTCATTAAACAGGCTAGCTGTTAGCTTATAGCTCACGCTAGCTGACCAGTGAGCAGTTAAAAAGACAGCTGAAGCTGCACAAAACACCCACAAACTTGTCTCTCTACAACGTAGCACAGAAAATATGACTCGCAGCTTGAGCTCGACACAGCTGCTGTAACATAAGACTGACATCCAGCTAACCACAGCTAAAAAGATATTTAGAGAAAACTTACCGTTTCCTCAGGTTACACGAGCTGAGTTTTTTTCACGCTGAAAAGTTAGTTTGTTTTGGCTCTCACTGAAGACACCGACGCTGAAGACATAGCTGTTCTTTTGTGCTGCTTTTAAGAGAAACATTCTTTGTATATGAGGAAAATGCTGTTCATCCTCTTCAGCTGTAGCGTAGACGACTGGCTCTGCCATGTTTTCATGTTTCTTCTTTCTGTGTGTCCGCTACTTTGAAACGCTTGGGCCGCTCTGCCCGCCACAGTTTCAAACTGGTCATGACTGGTCATGTCAACTCCTCAGCAAGGAAAATCGCTATTGGCTGTCCTAAAAGTCGCTAGAGGTCGCTAAATGACGTCATCACCTAATTTGCATAATTGGTCATGCTAATATAATTGTAACCTACACTGTTGGAGAGAGAAATAACATCATGGAAGAAACACAAAGTGAGCAAAAAACGTCCTAAATGCATTTAGAATTTATTTAGAACTACAAATTAAATTTCTTTTAGCAATTTTTTTTAATGTCACAATTCCAACCCTGTTCCTTTATCCGGGCTTCGACCGGCAAAAGTGACCCGAAATAGGCGCTCTGGTGGAGTTACTTTATGTGTGTGTGTGTGTGTGTTTATAAGTAGTTTTAAACCTTGTGATCCACAAAACAGCATAACAGTAAAAGAAGAACTGCGTTACAGTCAGTGAGGAAGCAGCAGCTTCGCTCATGCGCGATTCATTTGCAGTTTGGACGCATAGGTGTGAACATCTCCTGCAGCTGGGGGAGGACTATCCTCCGCCCGTGAGCGCTTTGGCACGGGTGAGGTGCCCATGGCAGCACCCGCTGCTTGTTGAGAGTAAGAGCAACACGCCCTTTCACGTCAAAAAGTTGTCATAAATAAGTCTCCAATAACACCAGAAAAAGTCGCCAGATTTGTCGCTAGTCGCTTTTTAGAAAAAAAGTCGGGGTCTGAAAACTCGCTAAATATAGCAACAAAGTCGCTAAGTTGGCAACACTGACTGAATGGCCACATCTGATTGATAAAAAAAGTTACCGGAAACTCCACTTGCGGCATGTTATCTAATGTGTTAAACTAATTATTTTTTTAAAAAGTAACGAGTCGAATTTTGCAAATGTAGCGGAGTAAAAGTACCGTTTCTTCTTCACAAATGTACTCAAGTAAAAGTAAAACGTATCGTGCAAGAAAGGTACTTTAAAAGTAAATTTTTTTTCAAAAACTTAAGTAAATGTAACTCAGTAAATAGGGTTAGGGTTAACCCTAACCCTAACCCTACCCACCTCTGTATATACCAGTTTTTAAATTGTGTTGATAGGCCACATAAAACCAGACTCATGATAAACAATATATACGCATGTTTTTTCCTCAATAGTTTCTTCACATTCACTGTCTAAGGACAGCGCAGCAAGCACTCTCTGCTTATGAGCAAACCCCCCC